ACCGACCGGGTTTTTTTTAACAATCTTCTCTATAGCTTCTCCAGCTTCCCTCTTGTTCTTCCCTACAAACCCCACAATTTCAAAAGCCTAATTACTCAATAAACAACAAATCTGTCACCATAAGCTTCATGAAAACTATTATGGGACTGCAGACTATAGAGTTCTAGTAAGACAGCAAAGAGTTGCAAGGAGAATGGTTTCTCATCGCTCAGTGCATTCCAATTATACAATTTGCAAGTTAGAACAACATAATATGATTATTGCTTAGGAGGACGGTAACATCCATAGAAAGCAAATAAGGCTTGTATCATAATGAGGACGAGTAGAACAACTGCAACTAAAGCTAATATGAAGGACCATGGGGTGTCAAAATCAGTGTGCTTGAACCCTGCCCATCTAACATACGATCAACATAAAAGTTAAACAAAAAATAGACTTTTAAAGTAAAGAGCTCTATGTAAACAACGGAGCACAGTAACTCATGATGTACAAAGCTTTAATCTTTCTTCTCAGCCTTAGCAGGAATTACAGCAAGAGATGCGTCAACCTTAAAAAAAAAAGGACACAAAACCGCGATGAGAGAAAACAAACATTGAAGCCTTGAAGATGAAGATTTGAAGCATACACTAAACTAATCCCTGAGTTGTTAAATTTGAAGATCAAGATTGAAGCTTTGTTGAAGTTTTGTTAGATAGCTAGAAGTCTAGATCTGATCATTAGTGATAGACAAGGGTATGAGAGATTGAGATTTGAGAGTTGTGTGGATAACAATAATACAACAAAAACAACAAAAACAACAACAATAATAATAATAGTGGTGGGGGGGGGGGGGGGGGGGGGGGGGAGGGGTGGCGGGTGCGATGTAAAAAGAGAGGGAGTGTTAGGGTTAAAAATTTAGTAGGGGTTTTTATAATATTTTTTTTAAATTGAATTGGTTCGGTTCGGTTCGATTTTTTTGGTTTCAAGCTTATACCGAACCGATGGATTTTAAAAAATTTTAATCTGTTTAATCAAATTTTTTTTACGGTTCAATTTTTTTAGTTATTTTTTTTTTGTTTTTTCGATTTAATCTATTTTTTATTTCTTTATTCACCCTTAATCAGAATGCTGAACAGATCGTACTGGAAAGTGATACCCAACCATAAAAAAAAATGAGCTGAAACAGCCCATCTGAACCATAAAAAAAAATGCAGAAATCCAAAAGCCACTGAAATAAGAATAGAACCCAAAAACGGCACGGAAGTTGACGAAATCCTGGTTGCTGAACTGAAAAGCAGGGTCTCCAAAAATTGACTAAGATAGTACCGAGTATAAAGAACCCACAAGGAAGCTCTCCCGAGTAGGAGAAAAAAAAATCGTGAAGGACATATAATCTAGTAACATGCTCTTGATACCATGTCAAGATACTTAGAAAACGTAGAGAAAACAGATACAAAGAACTTTGTTTTGGAACCTGTCCCATCAATTCATACACACACACACGCATGGAAGTATTTGTTATGTTCATACACACACACACACACATACACGCATGGAAGTATTTGTTATAAATGGAATCCAACTCATTTCTAATATTTAGTCTCTATTCATGAAAAGGTAAATATTAACAGAGTCTTAAAGTTATATACGATAACAGCATTGACAGTATGCGTTTTCCTTCCCAGAAAGAATTTTTGTGTAAACTCTGGTTTGCTTCACTGTTTTCCCATGGTTTAAGGAAACTAAATAGAATGTTTTATCAGGATAAGTTGATGGAGGTTATATTGAGTTCTCTCGTATCGAGTCCAATGTCCTGATCACTAGACCATGGAACCATTTGTCATGCGTGCACGCAAATACACACACGTATATAAACAAACACGCCACATGATCTGCACAGATGCAGCAAACTATTACTGTTACACCTTACAACAGCGTTCACCGAGCCACTCACCTGGATAAATTGATCTTTTGGTCTTAACCAGAAGAAAAGTATAGTCAGGGATTGTATTGGTGTATGTTTTGTCACCTCACAGTTCAGACAGCAAGCAGTGTTTGGACTCTGGAGTCAGGACCAGGTCACCAGACCAACACTGCCCTAAAACTAGGTGCTCCATTGTTTGCTAGCATTCACTGTCGAAATGCAAGTGTCCTTGTACATTGTAATCTACACGGATTTTGTTTTGTTGTTAACAAGCAAGAGATCATGCAAATAATATTTACAGATTATTTGCCACTCTTTTAGCATAAAGTTGATAATAAATTGCATCCAAACTCTGTGGTTGAACCGGACGCCCAGCGGGCCAATCTCCATATCTATACCCCATCCTTGAATTTGAAGATTTTTCTTTTCTCTTTGTTAAGGTTGAAACGTTGGATTTTCTTGAAACTTTTGGTCTCACCAGATATTTCCTTAAGATTCTCTATTTCCTCTTTTAATCACTTTATATTACTGCTAAAATTCTCCACCTATAATTCTCAAGAAATGTGAAAATAAAAATCTCCACCGAGACAAGATAACCCAAAAATCTAAGACATACCCAGGTGGTGATATTGTGATAATCAATAGTAGTGATGTTGGGATGATTGAAAAAAGGAGATGTCCAGTGAGGCCACTGGTTTCAATGGACATCGTTTTGAGGGATCAGCTGGAAATGAGATTGTTCAGCCAAAGGCAAAGCGGGGTCGACCAAACGGCTCAGGGAAGCAAAGAGATGTTGCCCCTGAAGCAAATCAGAGCTTGACTGGTGATTTCTTGGCAATAATGATGCTGGCATTGGGGTTGCTACCCCTGTAGCATTGGAGAGCGAGAGAACTACTCTTGCAGGTGCGGAGGACGCCGAAACTTCTGCTGGTAACAAGGGTGGAACTGAAGCTGTTACACCAAAAAGGCGCGGGAGACCAAAGGGATCCAAAAAAAGAAAAGAAAAGAAAAGGGAACCATAGAGATGTTCCAGGTGAGAAAAGAGAAATGACTGGTGAAACCAAAGGTTCTATTGTTAGTGGTTTATTAACTACAAGACCAATGGGTTTGGAGAATGAGAGGACAGCTCTCGCAGAAGCGCAGAGGACAAATCAATGTGTTATTGATAGTGGCAACAAGACTACTGGTTCAATGCGTATGAAAAATAACGGGGCAAGGGCAATGCTTGATGAGAATATTGACTGAATGATGAAAAAACCCTAAGCATAATCAAGGGTGACTAAAGGACTCAAAATAAGCAGAAAGATCTTGCTGGTAATATCCAACAATTTCCCGGTGACATCATGGGTAGCAATGAAGGGGCTGATGATGTACTTAGGCTGATGGGTTTGGAGAATGGGACAACTGCATGCTCTTTTTGACGGAGGTAGGGCATCGTGTAGTAAGACCACTAATAGTGGTGAAGAGAGGAACTCACTTATAAAGCCCAAGGACAAGCACAGCACCGTGAAGGGATTGAGGAACAACAAGAAAAAAAATCTTAATGTTGATAGTATGGACATTGCTGGCAATATTGCCAGGAGCTATGGAGGTGCGGGCAACAAAACTAGGCTGATGGATTTAGGGAACGTGATAGCTGCTCTTTTGGGTGAAAGGATAAGAAATTTCCTAGTGAAGCCACCGGTGTTAGTGGAGAGGGGAAGGAAATTGTAAAGCCTAGGCTTGGCCGACCAAAGGGCTCGAAAAACAAGCCAACAGGTGATTGTCAGGAATTGCCTGGTGATGTTGTGGATAGAAACAAAAATGTTGACAACATAACTAGGCAGGTGATTTTAGATGATAGGATGGCTGCTCCTTTACGTGAAGAAGAAAGGTTATTGTTCATTGAGGTCACAGGCCATAGCGGAGAGGGGAATGAAATTAGAAAAGCCTAGGCCACTTGGCCGACCATAGAGCTCAGTGGAGAAGAAAAATCCTGCTGGTGGTTACCAGGAATTTCCTGGTGAAGTTATGAATGGTAATGATGGCAAGGATATTGTTAGTCTAATGGGTTCAGAAAATAGGGTGATTGATCTTTCAGCTGAAGAGGATCAAGTATTGCCTGGTGAGGCTACTGGCCATAGTGGAGAGGCAAATGATATCACAAGGTCCAGGTGTGGCCAACCAAAGGGCTCGGTGTACAAGAAGAAAAATCCTGGAGGTGGCAATCAGGCTTTGCCTGGTGAGGTTATGCATGCCAATCATGGTGAGAATGCTGTTGGGTTGTTGGGTTTAGTAAATGCAGTAGCTGCTCTTTTCGAAGAAAAAGATAAAGCATTGACTGGTGAGGCCACTGGCCGTAGTGGAGAGGGGATTGTTCCAAAACATAAGCCAGGCAATCCAAAGGGAGCAAAGAGCAAAAATACTCTTGCTGGTGGTAGTCAGGGATTGCCTGGAGAAACCTTGCATGCTAAAGATGCTGATAGAGAACACCGAGGCCTACTAGTATAGTGATGGGTTCAGAAAATAGGGTGACTGCTCTATCAGGTGAAGAAGATCAAATATTCCCTTTGAAGCCACTGGCCGCAGTGGAGAGGCGAATAAAGTCTAGGCGTGTCCAACCAAAGGTGATAACAGGAAGAAAAATCTTGCAGATGGTAACGAAGCATTGCCTGGTAAAGTTATGCATGGAAATGAAGGTGAAAATGGCGAGGCCACCGGCCTTAGTCGAGAGGGGATTGTTCCAAAACACAAGCCAGGCAATCCAAAGGGGTCAGAGAGCAAGAAAAGTCTTGCAGGTAGTAGTAATCAAGGATTGCTTGGCTAAGCCATTTACGGTAATGATGCTGGTGAGAAAACAATGAGGCCAACTGGTATAAAGAATGAGAGGGCAGCTCATCAAACACAGACATGAGAGCCCAAAGGCATCATTTGTAAAGGGAAGTTCGCTGTATGCAAGTCCTCTAATGCAGAAGATAACAATCTTCAATGCGTATTCTCCTGTGGTTGAACCGGACGCCCAGTGGGCCAATCTCCAAATCTATACCCTATCCTTGAATTTGAAGATTTTTCTTTTTTCTTTGTTAAGGTTGAAACTGTGGATTTTCTTGAAACTTTTTGGTCTCACCAGATATTTCCTTAAAATTCTCTATTTCTCTTTCAATTCCTTTATATTACTACAAAAATTCTCCACCTATAATTCTCAATAAAAGTGAAAATAAAAATCTCCAACGAGACAAGATACCCAAAAGATCTTAGACATACCCATTTTAATTCACACCAAATTATCCAAAAACCTCTTTCAATTTCCAATCCTTACCACTCTACAAACCCTAATTTTCCTCTCCCTGTCTCCCTTAATTTCTCTCTTCAACAAAATCCTCCAAAAATGCTTGATAACTTGAAAATCTAAAACATACACACTTCAATTCATACCCAATTATCCAACATCCATCTGCAAATTTTCAATCTTGATTCATGAACCCTAAACCTTTTCCACTCTCTTTAGCTTAAATTTCCCTCGCTTTCCTGGGGAAATTCGACCACCATGGCCGTTGCTGCAGTTAGAGGCAAACCCACCAAAGAAACTGCTTCTCAATTCAGATACTTTATGTTCAATTACATGCATGTGGGAAGTCGCTTGTCTAGTGCTCACTGTGCTAGCAAAACTACAAAATGGGATGACCATTTTGCAAATACTCCTCATCACTTCTCTTCTTTCAAGCCTGTTTCGCTTTGCGGGGAGTTTGTTGAAAAGGGTACTCAATTGTTGGAAAATATGAGAAGTAGCGGTAATTCAAGTAAAGACTTTGATAGGAATTGGAATCAGAAAGTGAGATATAATGGTGGTGATGGGTCTGGTTATGGCGACCCACCAGAGGTGCGGGAACCACCTGGTGATGGTGTTGCAAAATTAAGGGTGACTGATGGAGGAGTGAATTTTAAGGTAGGGAGTAGAGGTGGGTCTGGTTCAAAGGATGGGTCTTGGGGTGGATCAAATTTGGGGAGTAGCTTTCCAACGCCTAAGGACATTTGTAAGGCACTTGATAAGTTTGTCATTGGACAACAGAGAGCTAAGAAGGTGGGGTTTGTTTATTGTGGTTTGGCATTTGGCTACTTATTGTGTTTAGAGTGATTTTTGCTTTTAGATGCAATGGAAGTAGCTTACCAATTAGTGTCATCATAGTTTTGGTTATCGTGGCCAGCATTATAATTTGGATCAGTTTCAGAAGGAAGAGGCTGTCTTTAGATTGCCTAAATTGTTCATAATTCTTGTTTTGAATGTAATATTTTGTAATATTATTAGATGCTGAAGAAAAACAAAACAATGGACATGCTTCATTGCTTTAATGGAATTTTTTGATATGGCCTTTTATCGGAGGATGGCTATAGAAGCATAATGTATTCATAATTGGCGTATCTTTTTGAAGTGAAGAAAGAAAAACTGTCTTTATTTTGAGTTTTCTTTATTTTTCATAGGAGTTTAGGCATGCAGCCATACATGGACAATCCTTATGCTCTGTTTTGCTTGCTTGTCATCTTGTTTCATATTAGTGTTGTCTATCTGCCTTTCTACTCATTTTTTCTAATTTTGTATCGTGAACAGGTGCTCTCTGTTGCTGTTTACAATCACTACAAGAGGATCTATGTACAGTCTGTTAAAAAATGGTCAGTTTTATTCCTTAGTAGTAAATGTTGTTCCATTGTTTTCTTCCTTTTCCATATGCATAACTTGAAAAGAAAACCTATTGATCATATGTCAGGCACTAATTGCCCATTCAAAAATGCAATGGCTTTTGATTTACTAATAAGCAATTGAACACAAATCACAGTCATGCCATGGAACTTCATCTCTGGCTAAATGTTCTGGTGGTTCACCATATTTATAGCTGCAAAAGTGTTTCTTTTGATGTCTTTGAAACCACATAATATTTTGGCCTTAGTTTCATACTTAGCTCCAGAGCCAGTGAATAGCATTGAACTGTAATTACAGCAGAGGTTTTTTATTCGATTGAAAATACACCCTTTTCTTTTTCTTTTTTCTTTTTCCTCTTTTTTGTTTGAGAAAGGAGGGAGAATGGAAAGGAATTATTCGATATGAAAGTACAACCTTTTTCTTTCGTTTTCCTTTTTTTTTGGATGTCCTGCTGATAAGGTTAATATATCAGTGTGCATGCAAACTGCTAGAGTATTCAACATGTCTTATTAATATTGTCGATTGAGTGACTTTCTTTTGGTACCTTTTCTTGTCTTTCTTCTTTTCTATTCACTCAAAAGAAGTGGCATTGGTGAATCCTTTCTTCCCTTTCCCAGTCACAGTAATGGTTTGTCTGTACTTCTCTTGTCCATTGGGCATGGAATGCACCGTACCCTTCGCCATATAATAAGCTAGTAAACTTGATTATCCTCTTTGGGGACATTGTTTTGTTTCTCAGAGATTGCTGGAAAGTCTACTGGATCATGGGGTCAATATTCAATAGCTAGTTCATGTTTTGTGCAGGCATGAGTTGCAATGCTGTTATTCATTATGCTTATTGTGAGAGTTGTCTGTTTTAACATGCTTAGTACAACTTGGGAAGCTAGGTGCAACATAGATTCAGGCAATGAAAAAGCAGAAACCATGGATGAGGAGGAAGTTGAACTTGAGAAAAGTAACATTCTTCTAATGGGTCCAACAGGTTCAGGTAATTTTTCATTGTCCTTTTTCTGATTGTTCGATGATGTAGTTACTTTTAAATGGTACTAGTAACAAGGTCCCAAGAATAACCTAGCTCTCTAGAGTTGTCCTTATGCTATGATATTATTTTTTTTCAGCGTTCTTCTTTAGATGCTTCTTCTCTTAATATGCTGTGTTGAATTGACTGATAATCTGTTACAGATGTTGGTCCCTCATGCATGGATAAACGTCCCTAGTTGTTGATGATTTTGTTTTGATAGAATAGCTAGTGATGATTAGTCTGGTCATGGAACCTTGTGTCAAAGTTTTACTTGTGCTAATCTTTGTGATGTTTTAATTTTTATTTCAATTTACGCCAAAGACTTGACTGTGGACATTAGAAAAAATTGATGCTTCTATGGCCTCTTTCCCCACTCCTCTCTTATTGCAGAAGAATTAGTACTGCTTCCTTCAACGTTCTTTTGGTCTTTTTTCATCCTAAATATAAATTTTGGTGTGGAATAGAATATCTGTTAAATTGATTGTTTTAGAAACTGTTAGTTACTGTTCTCACTTCACTGTTTCTTATGTCATTTCAAGGACAGGGAAGACATTACTTGCCAAAACCTTGGCACGGTTTGTGAATGTTCCTTTTGTTATTGCAGATGCAACTACTTTGACTCAGGCAAGTTGGTGATTTTCATTACTTTATTGTTGTTGACCTATTATGAACTTTATCGCTTATTGTTTTCTCTCACCTTCAATTGGATTTTATTTAAAAGTCAATTCATTTACCCAACTCGCATCTATATTAGTTGTGCACTGCTGTGTATTTTGCCTCAGCATTTACTTTTATGGATTGGTAAAGATGCAAAAAATCACGTTGATATTGATGGTTTGAAATCAAATGGCCACGTTTCTTGAGAGGGACAAAGATGATCATATTGCATCTGAAATAAGATGCTTGCACATGGGTTTCTCTTCTTAGATGCCCCCCCCTCTTCCTCTTTTTTTAAGAAAAAAGAAATTGGAATGTGATTAATTGATATGTTTTATCACTGCAATTCTTCGGTAAATTTTGGTTTCTGATGTATGCATGTTAGAAAATGTTGTTAGGGAAGCTGATTTTAAGTTACCATGAAATTTTATGTGCAGGCAGGATATGTTGGGGAAGATGTGGAGTCCATTTTATACAAACTACTGACAGTGAGTTCTCACAAATCTTATTTATATTCTGCTTCAAGCACTTTTCTACATGGGAAAAGCTCTTACTCTTCTCTATGATATATATCCAGTGCCATTTTAATTGTCATTCATTAACTTGTTGCTTCCATAGCTTGTCTTAGATTCTTAGCCTATTCTCTCAAAACTTATGAACTGGTATCTTATGATTTCCTGATTTAGTGTGATATATGATAAGCTGTTGCGGTATATGGTTTTGGTTTTGCCTGAGACAGAGACTGAGTTTATTTTCGTTTATTAACTGGTTTTTTTCTTCATAGGGAGAGGGAAAAATTGAGCAGTGTTCATATGAGCAATCATTTCATTGTTTATGGTCCTTAGATCCCTGGCAACTAAAAATTCTGCTTAGAACTTATAAATGCACATTAGGATATAGTTGACATGTGACAATTATAAACTCTTTTGGCTTGGCTTGTTCCAATTTTCAGTGGGGCCGCTGTACCAATAATCATGGTTCTGCTGCACAAGTTGGACACTGAATTATTATCTTGCCTATTGTGAATGAACAAGCCTCAACTTTTCCCTTCTTTTCTGTGTATCTCAGGCTGCTGACCATAACGTGGCAGCTGCTCAGCAAGGCATCATTTACATTGATGAAGTTGACAAGATCACAAAAAAGGTTATGTCCACCATTTTACCATCACTACTTTCATCTTTATTTCTTTTCTTCAAAAATTGCATTCCCCTTCTAACATTATCTCTGCATCTCCTGTCTTTTCAATATGCAGGCTGAGAGTGTTAACATCAGTAGAGATGTGTCGGGGGAGGGTGTACAGCAAGCATTATTGAAAATGCTTGAAGGAACAGTAAGTGCTGCCAAAAGTTGTTGGAGAAGAATGATTATGAATTACTTAATATCTCTGCTGGCTAAATTCTATTACCATTGCTACTGACATAGCTAGATGATCCATCTGTACCCTTAGTTATGCACGGAAGGATTAGCTTATTGAATTGTTAACTTCTATTTGGTTATTTTTTTCCAACCATATGTTTACAGCCATGTTTTTTTTTTCCTGATCTAGGTAGTCAATGTTCCAGATAAGGAAGCTCGAAAGCATCCTAGGGGAGACAACATTCAGGTAGATACTATGTGGTTTGTAACACATGCTTCTAACTGGCTTGCAAATTATCCGCATAATAATATCCATGGACATGTTTTGCTATTCTCAAAATTTCCTGACAACTATGGACACAGTCAAGTCGTAGTGTGACCATGAAAAGTCAGCTGCTGCAATTGCAATTTTTCTTAATCTCTTATGATCAATTTTTTTAATAGATCGACACAAAGGATATTCTTTTCATATGTGGGGGTGCCTTCATTGATTTGGAGAAGACCATATCTGAAAGGTTTTACATCCATACACCCCCCCCCTCCTCTATCTTCATGTGGTAAAATATGAATCCTTTTTTTGAAAAGGGAAATGTAAGTAAATATTTATGACATCCTTGCAGGCGCCAAGATTCATCGATTGGGTTCGGTGCACCAGTACGTGCAAACATGAGGACAGGTGGTGTTACGAGCGCTGCCTTGACATCATCTTTATTGGAGACTGTAAGTGAAAACTGGTCTTCAATTAGCAACAGCTTTGATGGCCCCCCTTTTGTCTCTTATGCAACTGCCACTGTTTGTGTTTGCTACTAACTGCTTTTAGATACTTGCATATTGTTTGAACTGAAATCTTTGCCAGGCTGAAAGCAGTGATCTTGTTTCATATGGTTTGATACCTGAATTTGTTGGAAGATTTCCTATCCTCGTCAGTTTATCAGCTCTCACTGAGGATCAACTTGTCCAGGTATATATTGTTGAAATGTTCCTTGTCTAATAAATCAACACATGTTTGTTCTCTTTAATGATGCTAGGTTTCTGTTGGAATCATGGAGAGGTTTGAAATTGTTTGATATCATGGATAAGAAGCTTAGACTTGCTCTTTTCCATTTCCCACATTTACAGTGGTTTGGTGGAAACAAAGTAATTGATGCACTTTGGTCTACATATGCTCGTGAAGAATTTCCTCATTGTTTATAACCTTATCGTTTATTTGGACTTCTTTGTCACTCCCTAACTGGAAATAATGTTCTATAGGTTCTCACAGAACCAAAGAATGCCCTCGGGAAGCAATACAGGAAGTTGTTCCAAATGAATGGTGTAAGTGTTTTTCCAAGCCACCCGCTCTTTTAGATGCTTTCTTGGATAAACATTGTACTCTTAATGAATTTGTTGCTTATTCTCTTGGACATTAAACATGTTTAGTTTGAAAGCCATCCAATTCTCCCTCCCCCCTCAGGTCAAGCTACATGTTACAGATCATGCTTTGAGATCAATTGCAAGAAAAGCAATAACCAAAAATACTGGGGCTCGGGCCTTGCGGTCCATATTAGAGAACATCTTGATGGATTCCATGTATGAGGTATGACATTCCTCCGCTCTCTGTTTTTTTGGGCAATTCCTGATTCTGATGGAAAGTTTATATTATGAGAAGAAGCCTGTCCCGGTATATTTGAAAGATGGACACTAATAATTAAAGCATCATATATAAGTCTCTTCCAGTTCCAAACTTCTTTTAGTATTGACCCTTTGTAAACTGAATTTATTGGATTCGTCCTTGTGCCAATGGCCCAGAGGTGGTCCAGGTTAAAATGCCTTTAACTTTGCATTTGACTGGAAGGGAGTCCATGCACAGGGTGGGGTAAGTATAACTTTCTTGAGGAAAAATGGAAAAAGAAAGAGCTACTAAGAAGAACTACCTCATATATGATTGACACCCATTATATTCCTTGAATAGTATTTTACCATGAGGCGGACCTCTGGGGTTCATTACAACTAACCGGTCCTTCAGTGTTCAGAGTATCATTTGATTTCCTGTTCTGATATAGGGATTTTGCATTGGTTGTTGTCAATTGTTTCTAAGATTCTTCTCCGTTTTTATTTATATCCCAGACCTTGGGCCTAATCTTCCCAAATGTGTCCTGTGAGAAACAGAAGCAAGGCTCTGGGACTCTTTTGGTTTCAACTTGACTGTGATATTTATTGACTGGAAATGCATCTATTCTCTGTATTTCAGAAAACAGTTAGATAATGCAATTTCTACCTCCTAAATTGTGCAGATTCCTGATGTAAGAAGGGGGGCTGATATTATAGATACTGTTGTAGTTGATGAAGAGGCTATTGGACCTGAGGAATGTGGAGCCAGAGCCAAAATCCTGTATGGCAGGGGCGCCTTGGATCGCTATCTTTCAAAAAACAAATTAAAGTCATCTGAGGTGCGTATTAATCTTTGGATGCATCTTTATAAAAACATCTTTATTGATGATCCTTGTCTCCAAAGCTCTCATGTCTAATCAATTGATGTTTATGTAGGCAACTGTGGAGGGTTCTGATGGAGAACCAGAGGTGGAATCAGAGCTCCCTAAGATAGTTGCCAGCATGTAATTTACTGATTAATGTTGTTTGTAGCCTCCTTACATCACATACCTGTACATAATAAGCTCACATTAATTTATTAAACCAAAGTTCTGTATACACGTTACAATTGCTCAAAAACTACAGTTTCCCAACCACAGAGTTCGGATTTTTTTATATCACTGCTGTATTCTACATCAGTCAGCCAAAGACAATCACGTTCTGCGATCCCATTTTTCAGCATGAATTTTCTGGGAGAATTAAATTATTGCTTTGGCACTTTCAGCTGTTTTTATTTTGCTTGCCCAAGTCCAGCACTATCTGCAGTCACAGAACTTGCAATAGGATTTGGCTAAAGTTCTCAGCGAATCTTGTGTCCCTGGTCCTGCAATTTTGGGGTGCCCTTTAGCACCTCGCAGTCTTGGACTCCATACAATAGGAAGAATGTTTACATAATTTCATCAACACTCGGGCTCTATGACCTTTGATAGGGCAGAGCTGCTCCACTGGACACCAGGTAACCAACATGTGGGACTGCCTCTTTTAACAACTTTCGATGCTTGAACACTGTGACTCGGTGACATCTTCTTAGCTTGTCATCCTTTTGTCCTCTTATTACATCAAGCATTATTGAGTCAAAACTTGTAAAAGGAAAGTGAAAGTTGGAAGAAAGTAGGTCTACTTATTGCTGAGTCCAAAGCTATTGCGAGGAAGAAAGCAGAACATCCTTACATAGGCTCCAAATAATTATTGTAAAAAGTTCGAAAAGGATTAAAAAAAAGAAGACATTGTTTAAAGAACAAAACCAATCATGTGGCCTTATTAAGCATCATGCCTTCGTTGTCTTTGCTGCCTTTACATTTGTTTGCCTACTCAATTTGAAAGTATCATGTCATGTCTCCCGTCTCTTCCACTCCTTCCTTCATTGTATATAGAAGTTACATTTTGAACAATAATGCTACTTTTATAGAGAAAAAAATCTACCGAAATCTCTTGTTGAAAATTTGATTCATGTTTCAATGATCCAATAAATTAAATTTGTTGAAATTCAGGTTATAAGTTGTTAGGTCAACTGAATTAATTTAAAATGATATTATTTCAAGGATTTTTTCTTAACAAAATAAAATAATATTATTTTTAAAAAATACTATTTAAAAAATATCAAACTAGATTTTAACAAAATTATTTCTTATCAATTCTCGTCACGTTTAATTTGAAGCACGCCGACAAATTAGATGGGGTTTAAGAACTTCATGAACTATCTTTTTTTAAGAATTTAGTATTATTTTATTCTAAAACTTGTTGCTAAATTGATCAAATTCATTCTGTTGAATGTCATGGAAATTTGTTGCCTGGAAATTTTGCATTTGATTCTGATAAACTGATCGTATCATGAGGATGCCAAATTCATGTAGACAGGAAGGTAGATATGTCGAATAGGGCGTTGATTTAGGCTGTTTAGCACTTCAGGATCCATGGTGTAATGTTAACAATTTGAGACCAAAATTTGAAGGGGAAAAAAATTACTTACAGGATAGAAATAGAAAATTGGACTACTTCTGAATCTTTTAACCTAATCATCTAAAAAGAAAGCTTCTATAATTGTCATGTTTTGGTAGGTGATGTGATCAACTCTTCTTTGCATTAGATACAAACATGGATAGCTTCCTCGTCTCCTCAACAATCATTTTTAATAGTGATGAAAATTACTCCCCATAAAAGTAATTTGTACTCCATGGAAAAAATAGGTTTGGAAAACAGAATCAGCTAATTGCAGTGTGAAAAAAATTAGCTGTTTATGCAGTTATTTTCTTCTGGTTATTCTCCAAAAAGAATGGATTTTATGTATTTGGGATAACTTTCCTATTGAAAATATGCTTAAAATGTTGTTAAGTAACGTCCTTTTCAATTTATCAACAAAATCACTGTAATTAAAAAAAAATTAACAAGCATTAAACCTCTAACAACCGTTGATCTCAAATCCAACTGTCCCATTTGAAATCCAACGGTCATCCTCCTCTCTCTCTGTCCTTACAAACCTTGGAAGTGAGAGAGAACAGAAAAGATAGAGACACCAAGCCAAGAAAAGAATGTTTTTTTTTTTTTTGGAGAGAGAGAGAGATTCTGAGGAGCCAAACAAGCCTCTACTTCTCTCTCTCTCACTCAAAACTTTCTCAAGAAAACAGAAAAAGGCTTGAACTTTAGATACAAGAAAGAAAGATACCAAAGACCCATTATTGAAAATCCAATCTTTTTCAATTGGGTTCGTGTCTAAATATTGAGTTTTTGCCATTTTAGGCTTCTTCGGTTCTTTTTATTTTTGTAAAAATTTGTACTTCAATGGATTTTGATAATATTGAATGTGTGTCATCATCAGATGGACTTGATGAGGATGAGATCCATCACCATAATTTACAACATCATCACCTTCATCAATTTGCATCACCAAAGCCTCACAATGCAAACAACAACAGCAATGGTAATGCCAATGTTGTTGGGGGTCCTACAGTTATTGCTCCTGCAACTAGTGTTCATGAGCTCCTAGAATGTCCTGTTTGTACCAATTCTATGTACCCACCAATTCATCAGGTTTGTTTTTTGTGTGTTTAATATGTTGTGAAGATGTGTACTTTATGGTTTGTGTTTATCTGGTCTTGTCTGCTTGCTGTCTTTTTTTTTTATATATGTTTTTGATGTTTGATAGGTGTGTGTTAGATCTTATTTGATTTGATAATTGGGTTTTAAGGACATTGGTGATTTCAGGCGCATAGTGATGATGTGTTGTTTTAGAGTTGATGATGGTAGACTTGGATATGTTTTTGGGCTGTTTTAGTGAGAACAATTTTGGGTTTTTGGTCAGTTGATTTCAATGGATTAGTGCTGAATTTGAGTGTGTGAGGGAATTTGACTTGAACGGATGGCATTCTAGTGACGCTTTTGCAAGGGTTGCAATGCTATGAGATCCTCTTTGAGCATTCCTGAAGCTGATGTGATTCCATTCTGTGAGATCCTTGATCCATTTTCCAGAAGTTAATTCTTTTGCCGAGTGATATCTGAACTTCCTATGTTAAGATTGTTGCTTTCTTATTGTCCTTTAATGGTTCTTATCAATTGCAACATAAGCTGTCAAGTACTATATCTGCTTTGGAATTGAAGAGAATTTCGTTTCAGTTATCTTATCTGGAGATCAAGCGACACTTATTTTTTCTGTTTCACATGTGATTCTTTTATGCTGAGAGTTTTTTCTGGAATAATACTTTGATTTTTTGAAGCAATGATGGCTCATGCCAAGCTGCAAATTAAGTGGGTAATAAGACGTATATCAGTGCTATAGGTAGAGATATTGAAGTATGCAGCCTCATATTGGCCTGCTGCATTTCATCATTGACTTGTCAACTTTTTACCTGATTCTTCTTATTTATTTCTTGGTTTGTTTAGTATGCTTGCCTCTACACTGAACTGTCTCTTGTTAGTCTTGGAGGGGAATTGCTAACATGACTGTGTTTGGCTAAACTATGCCTACAAACCTACATCAATATATGGATTTTAACCGTCTCTTCCTTGCAGTGTCACAATGGGCACACGCTATGTTCCACCTGTAAAACAAGGGTACAAAATCGCTGCCCCACATGTAGGCAGGAGCTTGGAGACATTAGATGTTTAGCCCTAGAAAAGGTGGCTGAGTCACTAGAATTGCCTTGCAAATATTACAACTTGGGATGCCCAGAGATATTTCCATATTACAGCAAGCTCAAGCACGAGGCAATTTGCAACTTCAGACCATATAATTGCCCCTATGCTGGATCAGAATGCTCTGTTGTTGGGGACATTCCTTTCCTGGTCGCACATCTAAGGGATGATCACAAGGTGGACATGCACATAGGATGCACTTTCAACCATCGCTATGTGAAGTCTAATCCCCGTGAAGTGGAGAATGCCACTTGGATGTTGACGGTAATTCTAGAATTGTTTTTTACATTTTTTAAACTGGGTTTGCATGAACAATTTCACAAGTCATGGTTAAATAGGTTATAGAATATTTCTCTAACTATGGGATGCTAATATGTTAAACTTGAAGCCAACTTGTTTCCACCAAACTAAACTGTAGCCCAAACCATATTCAGATCCTGCCATATAAGATTTCACTAGTTTTACGCTGGCTGTCGAAGTTAGGTGAAATAAATTAGCTTGCAGGCTTTTTCTTCTGCACGCAGTTTGGCATTGACTCCTGGATTCCCCAACTATCAGAAGTAAAGAGAGGAAGTATATATGGCTGTCACCTGTCAATGTGATACGGATAACATGACATGGTGGCGTTATTAAATATCCTAGGCCTCCCTTAGAAAATGAAATCTTTCAATCTGTATAGTGGATGCCATTTGAAATTTCATTGTACTACTATGTTAACCTAGGTTGTAAAGACATTTTCAAATCAATCATGTTTTGATTTTCATCCCTTAAACTATTCCGCTAGAAGTTTTGTTAATTTTAATCTATTCATATGCACATTGGCCAGGCTTGATTGCATCTGGTTACTCAATTTGTGTAATTGTGTAGCCTCTATGAGAGACATTCACTTCCATTTATTTTCTGGTATGCGTTCATGTGAGTCTGTCTCTCTAGGCTACCAGCCCCTAAAATGACCGAGCAACCTTGTCTTGCCTATTTCTGGATTAAGCCATGAGCTGCATATTTATTATAGAGTTTATGATTCAATATTCACTAATGGATTCTGCATGTTCTTTTTTTGCTGTTCTTTACCTGATTGGATGGCTTGTCCTTTTTTTTTTTTTGGTCAGGTCTTCCATTGTTTTGGTCAATACTTCTGCCTTCACTTTGAAGCTTTCCAGCTTGGCATGGCCCCTGTTTATATGGCATTCCTCCGTTTCATGGGTGATGAGGCTGAGGCTCGGAATTATAGCTATAGCCTTGAGGTCGGAGGAAATGGCAGGAAACTTATATGGGAGGGTACTCCGCGAAGTGTCCGAGATAGCCACCGGAAGGTCAGGGATAGTCATGACGGTCTCATAATTCAACGAAATATGGCACTTTTCTTCTCTGGTGGGGATAGGAAGGAGCTGAAGCTTAGAGTTACCGGGAGGATATGGAAGGAACAACAGAGTCCAGAAACGGGAGTGTGCATACCTAACCTTTGTAGCTAAAGGCGAAGTGATTTTGAAGACATTTACATGGTTTGTGTGTTTGAGAATGTTGTGTGTTGTACCTACTTCCTCCATCCTTTTCTTGTATCTTGTAATGGATGGAATTGATGAAACTCTACAGTTTTTGATAAATTTGTATAATAAACAGCTGTTCCGTCAACTTTTGCTTGATAGTACAAAAAGTAGGCTTTCAAGCTAGACTGGATGAAGCCAATTAGAGGATCTTTGCTCTGTATCTTAGACTATACTGCTAAGATAATATATATATATAGGACAGTCCATTTTAATACACAATCCTTGGTTCTTAAAACAGCAAGGCATTGAAATTGTAAAAGTGAAAATGAGCTTATCATATTTTCAGGTAAGTAAAAGGAAGAGGTCTGAAGAAGCGTGGTGGAATCTGTAACACAAAAGTTCAGTCTAGTAGAAGAGAATGACCACGACAATTGACAGGCAGAACAAGCTGTTCTGCTAACAAATTAGGCCTATTGAGGGGCTTTTGAGATCAAGCTAGCTTGCTTCCAAGCCACTGCACTATTTTTTTAACAATGATTTTCATTGCTCACATGATATAAATGCTGTTGGTATTTCATATTTGTCATGCTAAATTTTTATAGTTCTCCATTTTGATGATACTCATTGTTTACTCAAAATCTCATAGATGCAGAGATGTTTAACATACTTATCCTGCTACTTATGTGATTGCTGATCTACGTTATGAACTATCAATTTGATTCAAAGAGTTTGCATGCATGAATTACTGGAACTCCTGCTCATTACCCATTTGGTCTTCAAGGTCTAGTTAACCAAATAAACATATGAACAAAGTAATAGAACAGAGCCGCATTTACATCAAATGCGGTACAAGGCAAATCTAATTAGAGACAGCATCATTGCTATTTGTTCAGTTCCCATATGGATAACGCTTCACCATTTGTAGAGGTATATGTAATGTCATGTCGGCAAAGACAGCAATCCAAGTAACTCCGTATTTTAATTGCTACCACAAAGTTGTTCTATTGAATCATTCAGCAAGCTAAAAAATATACTCCTATAGAGCGTCCTGTGTACTGGGATTCGAGGACCATAGATTTAACACATCCATCTTAAGAATTCTTGATCAAAGATAACTGTTAACTGATAGCCCCAATATTACGAGATTTGTATAAAAAAATGATGGATGTTAAAAGTTCATTGCGTTTAGCAAGGAAACAAAACAAGAATCACGCGCTCATTGTGCACAAAGATCAAAGAGAAATCGACCAAATATGGATCAGCTCTACGAACTCTGAGAAACACCAGACAGTACAATAAGGATAGGCAAATAAATCATCGTTATTTCCCAACATGTTTAATTACATAAGAATAGATCAGCCTCACACTTCAAAACTATTTCATGTGCGTGAGATGAAGCGCAAAAGTTTTACCATTTCAAGGAGCAACCTGCTGCCCGGTTGCACCATCACTTTGAGCCTCAGTCTCATCTGAATCATCAACTTTAATTACTCCCCCCTCTGTGTTTGCATCGGTGGGAGAAGACTCTGCACTAGTAGCTTCGGTCTGATCTGAATCATCACCTTTATTTTCTCCCTCCTCTGTGTTTACATCAGTGGGAGAAAACTCTGCAATAGTAGCTTCCTTAACGCTTTCTCCTTTCTCAGCTTGTGCCTCTTTGTTAGCCAAGGTCGCCTCAATGGCATTCTCATTAGCTCCGGACTCTGTATCAGCTTCCTTTTTTCTAATGGGTGAAATTAGAGAGTTGATGACAGCTTTTGCACTTCTCTTGGAAGCCTCAGCTGCCTCGACCTCTTTGGCCTTAGCCTCAGCTTTCTGCCTCTCTTTCTCTTCCAAAAGCTTTGTTAACTCTTCTTCTCTCCCATCCTTTCTCAATTCTCCCTTAACAAACTCCTGCAGCTCCTCACTAAACTCAGCTTCCTCGTCATCAATTATTCCTTCAGCCATTTTAAGCACCTCATCCAATTTCCCGACATCACTCATTGTCTTCATCATAAACTTGTAGCTCTCATCATCCATCTTGAGTTTCTTCACCATCATATCATAAAATGATTTTGCTTCATCAATCTTCCCCACTTTAACCAACTCATCAATCAATCTATTATAAACTGCCAAGTTCGGCCTCGACCCTGATTCAACCATTTTCCTAAAGTAAGCCGCCCCATCATCGATTCTATTTTCTTTAATGCAAGTATCCATCAATAGAACATAAGTATACTCATCTGGTTTAACCCCCTTTCCATCCATCTCTCCATAAACTGTCTCAGCTTCAACCAGCATTCCATTGCTGCACAGCTGATCAATCAAATTATTAAATGACAAAGTATCTGGATTGCACCTATAATCACCCATTTTCAATAAGACTTCAATGGCATCCTTGTACCTCCCTTCCAAACAATACCCATCAACCATAACATTAAAACTTCCCAAATCCACAACCAAACTCTTTGGCGGGTTATGCTCTCTTAACATGCTCTCAAACAACCTCAATGCTTCATCAAACTCGCCATTCTTACACAATGCATCAAGCACTGAATTATTCGCAACCGCACTCCACTTGCCCCTCAAATTCTCCCTCAAAAAATCACCATAACACTCCATTGCCTCCTTCTTCATCCCTCTCATAAAATACCCTTTCATCAACCCCCCGTAAACCACAACTCCATTCCCCACAACCTCACCTCCCATCTTCTCCTTCAGCTCCTCGTAAAGCCTAAAAACCGAATCTGAATCCCCACTCCGCACACAACCCACCATCAAATAATGATAAACAACCGGATCCGGTGAAAAACCTTTAATCGCAACCATTTCATCTTTCAACTCCAAAGCCTTCTCTAACTTCCCATTATCTACCAACCCTTTAATCATAATCCTATAAGTCGTTGGTGAAGGGCTCAAAGGAGCCTCATTAACCATCTGTTTATAATATTCTAGCGCCGTGTCCGGCTTTCTACAATCTAAATACGTTTGAAACAATAGATTATGAGTGATCACATTTGCAGCAATGCCAGCCTGAGTAATAAACCTATGCAAAGAAAGCAAATCAGAGTACTTTGATTGGCGTAATTGCGCATTAAGCACAGCATTAACAGTGTAAATTGTGGGCTTACAGTTTGAATAAACCGAATGGCGGGTATAAAGTGCAGCTTCTTCAAGATCATTTTCACGAATTAGGGTTAGAATCTTGTTGTGAAGATTCAAGCGGTTGCCTGTAAGAGAGGAAATGGGTTCAGGTAGTTTTGGGGCATTAGGGTTTTGTATGGGTTTAGGGATTTGTTGGGTTTGTTGTTGGTTTCTGTTGAGGGAAGAGAGTGGGGGTTCAATGCGGAGACGGCGTTTGCGGCGGCGGCGTTCGGCGGCGGCTTCTTCTGGGGAGGAGAAGGAGAGGAAGCGGACGGAGATGGTGGGGGATGGTGGCGCGTGGCGGTGGTGGAGAGGGGTTTTGGTGGTTAGGGTTTTGAGGTGGGCTAGGAAAGTTGTGGGTTTAGAGAAAGACATTTTTTAGGGTTTTAAGGTTTTGGCAAGGAAATGAAGAGTTTTGGTGTAGGGTTTATGGCTATAGCTCTTTTTGTGAGGGGGAAGAGACGGATGATGGGGATGACCTCCAACTTACTCCCCAAATAATTAATTTTCTCTCCATTAAATTCCTTAACTTTGTTTTGTTTTCATATAGGTCCCTCCTTATGCATCGACGAATAACCCTCAGTTTGATCTTTTTTCAAAACAACATGTCCATCTTTTTGCATTGGTTGGTGACTGGATGGAGAAAATTCTCAAGCAAATTTATTGACAGAAGGATCCGGTTGATGATTATGGGGAATTAAAGGGACTCAATTGGTTATTAACATTATAGTTTAGGGTCTAATTGTGAAGTTTGTTATATAGGGGGACTAGTCTAGGGTCACCCTGGACGATATTTGGACACTACTGGTGAGGCCCAAGCTGATTTTAAGGTTCTTTTGTTGAAAATATGGGCTTGGGCTCACGAAACCTTAAAACCTAATTAGTAATGAAACGGGATCCCTTTGGAAGCCCGTGGATCTCAATATTTGGATTTAGCCTTAACTATTAGAATCTCAACGCTTCTTTTTTCTCCCATGTTCTAAAACTCAAACCAAGCCGACCTCCTGCATCCATCTAAATTCTCATTTATTCTATATTTAGATTGATTCAAGTTAAAATAATAATAATAATAATAATTAACCCGATTAAAACTTAATTATTTTTTATTAAAAGCTAAATAATTAACTTTTAATCGAGTGATCGAATCAACTCGAGTTTTCACTTTTCAATTTAATAATAATTTTTTTATTTTATTTTTTTAATATGAACCAATTCAAACCTCAAATTAGCATGGTCATGAATTCACTTGCCAGCTCGATTAGAGTCTTATAATTATGCTTGTGGAAGCTTTTTGATGGGTCCATGAGGTTGATCCTAAGCTTAAATGTGTCTCGCCGCTCTCTGTTGTCTTGGCTTTCATAGGAAATACCACGGGACAAGAACACGTAAAAGAAGAAGACAGGCTGCTGCTCTATGTTGTATCTCTTTATTAAAAAAATTTAGAGTCGGCAGTCGTCTTGGTGGTGGAAAGCAGCGTTCTTATATGTACTCGCCTTGCTTTTTCAGGAAAAAATAATTATTAATTATTAATTATGAAGACGCAGTCGATATTTGCTAAAAAGTTTAATACAAAAAAAGTATTGGTGTCATTTACAATGTTAAAAAATATTTATGATATTTTTTTAATTAAATTTTCTTGATTAAGGCTTTGTTCAGAAATACAATTAAGATTTTAAATATTATTTAATTAGATTTAAGGAGGGTAATTTATGGTTAAACAAATCGTATGTATATATATAAAAAAAAATACCATAAAAATACATTGTTTTTAAGTGATAAAAACCTCACTCTATCAAAAAAAAATATTTTATAAATTTAGATAAATAAATAAAATCTTAATTATTTCAAATTTTTATAAAAAATACATACCCCAGCTTGAACTCAAAATCTACTATCAAGATTTTAAATTCTTTACTATCATTACATCCTTGGGGACCATAGAAATACATGTATACATACTGATATGCTTGACAACAGGTAGAGGATGAAAACCTATCCGGCTTGGTTATGTCATTGCTGATATATATACTATGAATTATTATATTATATTATTTTTTATAACTTGTGAATTATGATTATCATAG